GGAAAGAGGCAGCTGAAGTTTCTGGGACACAATGAGAAAGGAGGGCCTGGAGAATCTGATACTCACGGGTCGAATAGAGGGAAAGAGAGACAAAGGAAAACAACGCATGACATACCTAGCGGTCTTAAGCAAGTGGATGACAGAACGTAGTCTGGGGGGCGGGAGGTAGCAGATCGAAGGAACTTGTTGAGAGTTGGAAGGGATACGGGGAGGTGGAAAGCCATGATCGCCTACGATCTGAAAGGACGCGGCATATTGAAAGGAAAAAGTGTGTTCCTGTCCAATCTTTTATTAAGAATGTATTGTTGGATGTTGATATCTTGATTGTGGTAAAATTAATGGTAATATTACCCGTCTCCATATAAGGAAACATTCAACATTCTTTGACCAAGTGCCGGGATCAATTGAAGTATATAAATATATTTCTGTTAAAATAGTTTTTAAGAAAAAAAAGGTTTCTCGGGTTCGGTAGCTGTTATCGCTCTTTCCAGTATCGATGGAGGTTTCCTTCCCTGCCTTTTGCTTTGGGTAGTGTGGAATGTCATTTTCATTATGTCACTATTCTTCATGTGTTAACCATTTTAGTTGTTACCGTTGTTGAAAGTCTGCAAGTAATGTGGTTTCTGTTATCTCATAATTTGTTGTTTTTGATTATGTAGCGCCAGTCCACGCGTTTCGAAGAAGGATGGTCCTCGCTGTGACCTACAGACTTCATTCGCTCGGAACCATCGCTAACCATCGATCTGAGAAAGCGGTTTTATAGTGCTGATAGTTTAGATATTTCTGAACTGGTCCGGCTGTTACAGTTTTTTGGATATATATATAACTAGACGATTTATTGTAAAAGGTTACAATTGTGGCACAAGGCCGAAAAGGGGAGGGGTAGAGGCTGGTCATCACTAACTATCTTATACCTAGCTAATCTGGGTATATATATAACTAGTGAGCGAGTCAAAATGACTTAATTCCCTTTATAGTCTACCAATAGAAGATTAACCAATCAGAAGCCGCAGAACATTGTATACGTCGTGTATAAAGGCGGCCATCTTTGTATACCTACCGGAATGACCAGAGCCAACTTGTCAGGCGAACATGACAGAAGAAAGAACTACGCTCTGCTACTTTGCTGCGATATCCACTGCGAACCTGAACTACGCTTTCCTACTGTTTCCGAAATATTCACTTCCAACCTCTGGATTCTATACTCGAAGACGACTGTCATGAATTTGTAACACTGGCGCCATTCATGGCCATCAGAAGAATGTCTAGATCTGACGGGGGCTATTTAAGAACAAGACTCAAATTTTTAGGTTAATAATCAGACGAAAGTATTTTTTTCTTTCTTAACATCATTGCTTATTCAACTCCGACCTTCCTTAATTACTGTTGGCGAGTGGATATGTGGCTAGGGTGCTTTCTCCTAACGTGGATTCTACATTCCCTCTGAGCTGTACGATGACTCTTTTGTTTTTTGTTTTGTTTTACAGCATATCAACCACAATGGGTTATTTAATGACAACAATTATTTTTGCTGGTAATATTTTTTTTTCTTTTAATAACATATTGCAGATAATATTTTTCTTCAAAAATCTATCTCTGTTAATAATTTTTTACAAAGTATTTCTGGTATTAAAACCTGTTTTTACACTTTCATGGTGTTTTGACACCAGTTTGGGGGGTTAACTATTAGCCCATAGTTGGGGCCCTAATAAATGCTACCACCCGAACACCAGCAATTAAGAGCTGGTTCCACCCTCCTCAAAACCTCCTAATCACAGGCCTTGCTGTCGGACGTAGTTTGTGTAGTTTTACCCAGGGTGCAGATGTAGTCTATCGTCATACCCAGGGTGCAGATGTAGTCTATCGTCATACCCAGGGTGCGGATGCAGTCTATCGTCATACCCAGGGTACAGATGTAGTCTATCGTCATACCCAGGGTGCGGATGTAGTATATCGTCATACCCAGGGTACGTATGTAGTCTATCGTCATACCCAGCCCAGCGTGCAGATGTAGTCTATCGTCATACCCAGGGTGCAGATGTAGTCTATCGTCATACCCTGGGTGTAGATGTAGTCTATCGTCATACCCAGGATGCGGATGTAGTCTATCGTCATACCCAAGGTGCAGATGTAGTCTATCGTCATACCCAGGGTGCAGATGTAGTCTATCGTCATTACCAGGGTGCGTATGTAGTCTATCGTCATACCCAGGGTGCGTATGTAGTCTATCGTCATTCCCAGGGTGCAGATGTAGTCTATCGTCATACCCAGGGTGCAAATGTAGTCTATCGTCATACCCAGGGTGCGGATGTAGTCTATCGTCATACCCAGGGCGGAGGTGACTCTTTTCTCTATTCTCTTTCAGATGGATGCTTATATGTCTACCCGTCCTCTGGTTTGTCCCACATGTGCACATCTCAAGTACAGTTGGGTCAACCACGAGTTTTCATGTTGGGGGCCATCTATGAGATCTGGTGAAGCAGGGACTTCGTCTGGCGGGGTGCATCTTGCATTTGTTATGGACGCTGAGTACAAGGCCATTGTTGCCATCATCTAATGTGAGTCGTTCACTACACTGTGATTTTAACATTGTAACTGGTCATCGATCGACTAATTTCTAATTTTGCTTTTTGCTGATAGATTTGAAATCGGGAGCACAGATCTACGAAAATATTAAAATTACGATGCAGGCGTGCTGATAAATGACAGGGCCAATTCAGAACGGAAAGGTTCCGCTCGTGATGACGACGGACTTTTTTTTTTTTACAAGTGAGAGATTTACGACTGAACTTTTTTACACAGACACACACATACGAGCGTACACACATACACACGCGAACGCACATGCTTATCACACACGTATAGACTCACACATTTCCAAACAGTTAAGGTTAATGTTTTTTTTTGTTTTTTTAATCCGTTTCAGTTCCTTAGAGGGAGACAGTGTATAAGAAAGAACTTTTAAAGAAAATATCAACAAAATGTACACCTATACCAAAAATCAGGAAGAAAAAAAACACCTGGAATTCCTTAAAAACCTAACGAGGAAATTGTAAAATTAATTCTCTAGGATCAACGTTAGAAGAAAGTCCCCCGATCTCTACACCGCGACGCCGACATTACTTTTCTATAAAGTGTATAAATAATTTACATAAGTTTACATATGAAAGATTGGGTGGCGTATTCTTTTTTTTTACCGGTACAGTATTAGTATTTCATTTCATACACTATATTTCTTGTTGCTAACTTGCGCTCTGATAGGCATCAGAGCCCGCTACCGGCCATGCAGCCGATATTTTTATATTGACGAGCAATTTATCCGAGCCGCGGACATATTTTCCCCTTCCATAGCCGTCAATGTCTTTTCCCAACATGGAAACGCTTTTTCATTTCTAATCAAACTATACGATACCATCCACACAATGCCTTCAATATCGCTGCTGTCTTCTCTTCTTTATTAAATAATCGATCAAAAATTGCCAAATCGATTGACATATATATATATATATATATATATATATATATATGAATGTATTTCTGGCAATTAACATATCTTTGTAACCTAGTTTTCAGGGAATATGGAATAACAAAACTGCAAACAGTACTTTATGCAATAGTCACGGTTACTGATCATTGCCCACAGAGACCTCCTGCGTGCTAATCCATTTCTTCTTCTCCCATGTGGCGTGTCCGTTCAGGGGGTGGACGATCATGGCTCTCCACAATTTCCTATCATTTATAGCGCTTAGCAATGTTTGTCTTTATAATATCCCTCCCAGTCCTCGTCCTGCAGTCTATTTACACAATCTTTTTTTTATTGGATTAATTTCTATTTTCCCCTTTCTCTCTTGTCTTCAATACCCCTTGCGAGTGTAGGATTTTCGAAGCCCTCTTTCCTCGTTTTGAATCCTAGATTTTCAAATATCTCGTTCTGATCCCCCAAAATACCGTTCATTTTGGTTCAATTTTCTGTAAAGATTTGACAGCATTTCACCAGCATACATACATACACACACACACACACACACACACACACACACACACACACATATATATATATATATATATATATATATATATATATATATATATTCATACACGTTTCATTAAATAATATAGACAAGTGTTGTCTATTTATTTTATGTTGGTCACACCACAAACTCGCTTTCACGACGCTTGACACTACATTTGAATGAAAACGCTAACATTTTTAGGCATTTAAAACAACATGCCTGTCCGCACACACAATTCCGCAAAATACTTGTCGAAAACACAATTATACTTCGACATGAAAATAATAGACAAAAGCTAAAAATTCTTGACGCATTATACATCAAACAGTTGAAAAACAACCTAAACAAAATCAATTATGGCATCTCTACAAATATTCTTAAATGCCTATAATTGGTAACAGAAGCCATTTGTTTATACCAACGGCTTTCCATACTTCATACTTCTCCAATTCCCTCTCGTGTGGTCATGTCTGACGTCATGAGATGCGGTGCGATTTTCGCTTCTAGCGTCTTATATGCACGTGTTTATCGTTGCTTAGAAATCATCTATGTAAACAATGACAGACTATCATAACTGTCTTGTCCGAATATTGCTTAATATGTTGTAATTGACATCTTTGATAATGGCTTATGTAAGCCGAAAGCTTAGATTGTATTTAAAAAAATATGGATCAATATTGTGAATTTCTTTCTTCGTTCAACGATAATCTTATTAAAATTATCAGACGTTACGAAAAAAAATTTACATAAAATAAATAGACAACACTTGTCTATATTATTTAATGAAACGTGTATCAATGAAAAGATGCTGCCTAAATACACACAATATATATATATGTGTGTGTGTGTGTATGTGTGTGTGTATGTATGTATCTTATACATTCACGCATAGGCAAGTGTGCACACACAAAACAGACACATCCACAGGCATATACTCTTGAGAGGATTGGTACCAAATAAATTGTATTATATACGCAAATTTATTCGATGAAAAAAATTCAATTTAACAACCGCCAATTTCTTTCTTTCTTTCTTTTTCATTCCTCACACTTCTTTTATTTTGTCTTTTTTTCTTCTTCTTTTCAATATCACCCCCTCTTAATTCTTATTCCTTACTTCCACTTCCCTCATTTAATTCATTATATTCTCTCCCTTCCTCCGTCGTAATTCTTCTACTTCCTTATTTCCTTCCTACATTTTCTTGTTCATTTCTCCTATTTCTCTTCTTTTTTTTTCTCCTCCCACTTCTCTTATTTCGTGGTTTTCCTCTTTTTCTCAACATCCTAACTCCTCCTCCTTCTTGTTTCTTCCTCCTACTTCTCTGATATTAACCTATTCTTTTTTTTTTCCGTCAGCTTTTCTCTTACTGCTTATCCCTCTTGTTTTTGTTCTTTTCTTCCTTCCTCCTACTGCTTCTTATTCTTTCCTCTTTCTTCCCTCACTTCTTTTACCTCAGGATTCTCTTTCCTTTCCTTTCCTTTCCTTTCCTTTCCTTTCCTTTCCTTTCCTTTCCTTCTTCTTCGTCTTCGTCTTCTTCTTCTTCTTTCATTTTTTTGCCTTTTCTGTCCTATCAAATTTCTTTTAGAGTTTTCCTGGTTTTGATTCTTTTTTCTTCATTCAAAGGAAATAAAAATTTATTTTCTATTTTTCTCAGAGTTTCTCTCTCTCTCTCTGTCTCTCTCTCTCTCTCTCCCTGTTATATATATATATATATATATGCAAATATTTTTATTTTAGACTTACTTAGTCGCAGTGGTTAACTACTTGTGTAAATAGTGTGGATCGAAATCGCTATGGTTGCGATTTTTTTTTGCAAGACAAGATTGATCAATACCACATTACAGTAGGTATCTAACATATGCATATATCCTGAAATACGGATTCATATATACATGTATATATAGCAACACACTTCCTCGGAGGTTAATTTGACACTAATCGAAACTTAGTATAATTCGGGCACATATCGATCACGACAGTACAAACAACCAAAATACGACTATGAACGTATGACAAATCTTAGTAGATAAACCAAAATACTACACGTCATACAATCTAAAGAGTGATGCCAAATACATGAAGCAATTATCATACAAAAGAAACAAGCCACGTCAAATAAAGTCACAGAAGATATTATAAAAACACTACAACATATTTAATAACTTCTGAAAGCATTACCCCCACTTGGCCTGCCAAGACGACGTTAGGTTGAACTTTTTAATTACTATAAACTAACGAGCATATTTTTCTCGGTCACTTTCCCTCTTTTGGCTCAATATCTAGCAATGACGATACCCACTAGGTAGACCTTTTTCCACCGGGTGATTGACGATTGAAATTTTACATAAACACACTCACGCATGCGTGAGCGCACACACACAAGGACACACACGTACACAAAAAAAAGACAAGGAAGTCAGCGAGGCAATTACCTGACGAGCCCGTGCCAATAGATGCCAGAAGAATGGATGCCTTAACCGGGCATTGAACTCACACTCTTTGGGTCCTGTCACTGGATCTAACCAACGCCTTTATCCACTGTGCCATGTGTCCTTGAGGACAGTGGAGAACTTTCAGAGGGAAATTAGCAGGAGATCACTGATAACTGACATCCATCAAACATGGCACGTGAAACTAGAACAGTCTACCCCAGTGAGCGAAATAAAGGGTTCAGTTCGAAATTCCAACCACCTGAAGAAGAACGGAGCGTACAACGGCCGAAACGTTGTGATAAATATGGCGACAAAGATGAGGACAATAGTCCGAATAATGTAAATAATGTACATAATACCTCATCTTGGAAATATAGACAAAAACAGTGAAGTTGGTCAATTTATCAACAAACTTGAAGGATTGATTCATTTTCTAAAATAAAACTGAATAAAAATTTTAGATAGCAAAAAAAAAATTAGTAGATAATAATTGTTTAGTGATACAAGTCTTACTAATTAAACCATAGCTGAAGGATAAGAGATGGATTAATACCTTTCCTAGGTGTGTTTGCATATAACTAACCTAACAGGAATGGTATTTACTTAACTCCCACAAGGTCAAGATGTGACAAAAGGTCGTTTAACGTGGGAGACCCGAGTGTTTCCACTCAAGGGCCACTGGTCCAAAACTGGTCATAGTTTGTCCAAGCTGGTCAGAACCTAGTCAAAGCTGGTCATGACTTGTCCTAGCAAGTCCCGGCCGGAAGAATTGGAACTCGGCTCTCCAATCAACAATACCAAGCCATTATCCATTACACTACACACACACATCCAAGCTTACAACAACTCTAATTTCCAAACAGTCACACATTGACCAAGTATAACGTTGCTTAACTTCGGTGATCGTATGAGAACCAGTGATTCTACGTAATATGGCCGCAAGCCCCAAATTGGAAGTGAATGAACAAAGATCGATTCGAAACTACAATAAAAAAAATTGAACCATGCCCCTTACTGCCTAGACCTTGCAGCAACAGATTACAAACTCTTCCATTCCCTGGACAGCCACCTTTGTGAGAAACTGAAAAACTACAGACAACAAGTTTTTCGTCAAGGATCAAAACTCGCACTATGGATGAACAGGATTTTAATGCATATATTATGTTTTCTAGCGATGGATGTCGCCAGTAATCGCATTAATACTTCTGATTAATTCTATGTGTGATTATTCTTTGTATGTAAATCATATGCTGCCTAATGTTTTATATATATATACATATATACGTGTGTGTGTTCATATACATATACATACACATATATGTACATACATATATATATGCATATATATATATATATATATATATATATATATATATATTTATTTATATAATGAGAAAAGACAGTAAAATTTATAATTCGTGTTCTTATCAATTATTTTTATTTTTTAAAAAACAGTGCTCAATACAATTCAGTAGAGCCTAAACATAAATTTCTAATATAAAAATATGGTTCCATCGCTCCACAGAAATTACCATGATCCAAAAACAGAAACTTAACCTTAAAATTAATTATAGAATTACATTTAAAATCTTTATATCTCATTCATTTTCCAGCAATTTCTAGAATAACTTTTTTTGAAATTTACTGGGTTTATAAGCACAATATTATTTGTTGTCAAGGTTAGGGGAAATTTAAATCATTATTAATAATGGATGGTAGGGTATTTGTTTACATCGACAACCTCTGTCTCAAATATAAACTACTTGCAAAATCAGGTTAAGTTAAGGGTAGGAAACGAGTGGCTGTTTAATAAATGATAGCACCTGTTGTTCGCATGTCGTTTATTTTTTATTGACATAGATTTTTTTTTTGGCATCTTTATTTTACTGTTTAATTTCTAATTTTATACACAGAGATTTTCTCAAACGGTTCGTTTGAATATGAGTACATTGTATTTTTAATATTTAAAATCTATTCCATCAGTTTTAAAATATTATACCTACTTTTAATAGACTATATGTTTTTTTTTAAAACAAATAAATATATTAGAATTACTTTCTTATTTAAAGATTATTATTTAAAGATCAAGTTTAAATATGTATGTTTAATTTTTTCATATTTTTTATCATACTTAATTATTTTTAAGGAAAATCTTTGACAGTGTCTGCAGAAAATAGCTATTTCATTTTTTTATTAAGCAAATTTTCTTTTTTTTCATATTCTTATCAATATATAATTTCTCATGTATGTACAAAGAATATGGGGCATTTAATAACCTATGAATTCCAGTCTTTCTTAGTAACTTCCATTTTACAGTAAGTGTTTTATTGGTTTCCTTTAAGTGCCAGAAGTATTTAGATAGAGACGTTTGATTCCGGTATTTACTTATTTTAAAACAGCTTTGATGTTGGTTAAAACGCTTTTTGAACTCATGCACACACACACACACACACACACACACACACACATATATATATATATATATATATATATATATATATATATATATATATATATATATATACGTAAAGCATACGTAAAGGAGGTACGGTGGAGTGACGTATATACTTTTCTTTTAGAATGTCTAAGAGAGTTTAGAAACGGTGTGTTTTGTGTGCAATGTTCTATACGGGCCGTTTCTCCTCTCTATTTGTCCTTTCAAAAGAAAAAAAAAACTGTAAAGCACAAGAAAAATCTGAATAAAAAACATTTCCTTTTCCGCCTCATTCAATGAAAAAAAAAGGTTAATTTTCAGTGTAATACCGCGTTCAGTTCGCATTAAAAATTTCCAGAATACTTACATTTAGGTGTAATTGTACATTCTCTATTCGAATCTGGCTTGATAAATTAAATAAAATCTACCGTTTTACCGTTATCGACATTAAAAGTTGAGATTCATTACTGGCGCTGTTTGCATACATTCACAGCAGAATAGCTATCAGTGTAGGTAGCATTTCGCAAACTAAGTGTGTCTACGTAAATAGTTCACGTGCGCAGTAATTGAGAGAAATTTAGACAAGAAAGATCAGTTCCACGTTTCTGTAATCTTCCGCGTTTAGCTTTCCGGATGTTACACAGCAAATTAACCAAAAATATTTTTTTTAGAACAGTGTGTGTACATTTTTGATGTCGCAAGAACAGTTTTTGACGTATCGTCTTGGGTCGTCTCTTGCGGGATGTCACCCATCAGCCTTATTCTGTGCAGGCCTGATAGAAACTTTTAAATTTTCTCACTTTCATTTCGGGATGCTTTACTAGATGCTGTTTTATATAATCCTACATACATACACACATACATACATACACACACACACACACACACATATATATATATATATATATATATATATATATATATATATAATTATTTATTTAAAAATATGATTCCAACATTCAAATTCTTAAATAAATAATTATATATATGCTCTACTTTTATCGAGCACTATTTTTTTAAAAATAATAACAAAAATACTAAAGAACTTTGGATTATTTACCTAACGAGTTCTTTCCTATTTTCTATATAGTTTTCACACACACACACATATATATATATATATATATATATATATATATATATATATATATATATAGGTTGTCCATAATACTTTTTAAATTGAACACAGACTTTATGGATACCATATATATATATATATATATATATATATATATATATATATATATATATATATATATATGTCAGTAGACTTTTAACCGGTGTTAATAGTTTTATTGACACTCCTTTTTGCAAGACAGCCGAAATATTTTTACAGCCTCCGGTTTTTCTTATTTTGTTCTTCTTTACTTGATAATTATACAAAATAAAAGCGTCTCTAACGGCTTAGATTGACGTAATATTCTGATAATTTTGACAATGTTAGCAAAATCATAGAAGCGTCTTCATAGTTTATGAAGCTCTTTATTACTTTTGTGATCCGATATTAAAATTAGCCTAAATTCATTTCCGCAGGTTTGTGTACATCCAGGTAGCAAGTCCATCGAACTTGGAAAGAAATGTACACATAAACATTCATTTACGAAGCCATTTTTTTATACGGTTCCTTTTCTTTCTATTTTTGGTTCTCAGAAGTTTAATATTCTTGCCAAATCATTTTCGCATTTTTGATTTTTTCTTTTTTTTTTCTTTTTTTCTTTATTTCAGACGTCTTTATGCGAACCATACTTTCCTTTATTTCTTTGTGCGTTCACTCTGGCCTTTTAGCAGGAGTTTTATCGCTTCCTTTCCTGGATGTTTGATCCGAAACCATTTGTCTTCGACTACCTTTATTAATGATTAAATTCCTCGATAGAGATTCTCTTTTCTTAGTCAGCGACTTGACATCCATTCTGCTTTTACTGCTAGTGTTTGATTACCTTCTTCGCAATCATTTCATTTTTGGTTTTCTTTCTTGCCGTTGCTCTTCATTTTGTCATATTATTTTCCAGACTTCAGAATTGATCATTGTTGGCCATTAATTAAATTCTAAATTTATATCAGAAACGTCCGTCCATTACCCAATTTGATGGCAGAATTTGGAGAGTAATATCAACTAGGGTAATGGAGGCACATATTTGATATGAATTTAGAATTAACTTTTTTTTAATAAAAATGTCACAGATCTGCTCTAATTAATTATGTCATTGACCCCATCCAACAACATTCTACTGATGTCTTCACCGTAACACTGGAAGGTTTGGATTCCGTGAGCTATGAATGTAGTCCTCAAAAATAGAAGCAGTAACAAAGACCATATATATATATATATATATATATATATATATATATATATATATATATATATATATATATATATATATGCAAGAAGAGACAAGAGGAAAAACTTAGCCGACGCGTTTCGTCCACTGAGGGATTTTATCAAGGCAATGTAGCATTTATTGTCCTGTTCAAGGTGAGGATGTCATTGTTTTTCAAGGTTGGTAAATTTGAGAACATTCATGGTTGAAATATCAGTCAAAGCAATTGTCCTAATTCAAAGTCAGGTGAAAAGAAAACTGACCGAGTAATATTTAATAATTAAAAAAAAATTATAACGAATATTGTGCGAAATGTAATTAGGTTATCATGGTATGCGATGGATATATGCGTTGTATATCTTCAAAGGATGAAGTAATGGAAAAGCAAAAAACGTCATTTATAAATATTGTCTTATCTATATGTTAACTCTGAGAAATGTTTATATATATATATATATATATATATATATATATATATATATATAAATATATTATTTATTTAAAATATGGTAATTTTCGCTACACAGTTCTAACCATGTTTCAAAAAATGGAAGCTAAAGGCCACGAATTTAATTTTGCAATTAAATTAAAGATATTAGTTCCATTTCATCCTCAAGCGAATTTTGGAGTAACTTTTAAAATTACTGGGTTTTAAAGACACAGCTAAAATCACGTTTCCATTGTTACAGATAAACCTACTTCAGCTCTATATATATATATAGAGAGAGAGTGCGATGGGTAACTTGCCGCCATTTTATATTTTAATTACACGCATGCGCGGTGTTTGTTTTTGATTTTGTGGACTGTACAGTATAGTAGGGTCATTTAGGCACAGTCTGTGAGAACTAGACCACCATGACGCAAAGTACTACGCCAGAAATTTGGAAACAGCATGCTGTACTACTTGTCATTCGCGACGGATGCTCCAACACGAACATTTCAATCTGTTTGGGTGTCAATCTGAGAATAGTGCACACGATTCGTAAAGGCTGGATGAGTCTAATGGTGATTATTCTGATGGTTTTGATAAAAAAAAAAATCCTGAATTTGTTGGCGAGGAACTCAGACTCAACATGGGGGCCTACATAAAGTGACTTGAAAAGTTAGTGATAACCTGAGTCAAGAGGAGTCTGGCACACAAGCAGGAGACCCCAGTCATCGCTGTCAGGCAATTTCTATGACCACATTACCCTTTGCTCTCGACACCGAACTCCTCAGACTGCAACACCCTTGATTATTACGTATGGGGCAAAGATTAAATGAAGGCAAGGGTATTGGCAGCATTCACCAAATTAAGCAAGAAAACCGCCCAGAAGAGTTGCAGGCGATCCCAAAGTGATCTGGGAGTTATGGCTGAAAGCCAATGGCGATTTTCATTGAATAAGTTCACTCTTTAGTATTTCAAGACATTTTATGTGTAATTTTGGTAAATATAGCTGTTATAATTAGATGACATTGTTACTTTTCTTTTAACGTAATTTAGACTACAATTGATCCATCGCACCCTATATGCACACACACACATACACACATATCTATCTATCTATCTATCTATCTATCTATCTATCTATCTATCTTATCAATCTATCTATGAAGAAAAATATACGAAAAAACAAACAAAAAACCTAATATGCAATTATGCTGTTTTAATGTTAATATAATGTCAACGTCGGACGTTTCGGTCTAGTAAACCATCTTCAGGACATATTCATAAAACATAATTAACATTAGACTATATTTAATTCAACATGAAAAGACGATGGACATAAGAGTAAGACTAATCAAAATAGATAACTGAAATATTTCAAGATCAGCGCTCCGTTTCAATATGATCACGTCGGCGTCACGTGGGCGATGTTGTGAAAACGTATTCCGAAAATAGAGTATTTTGAATAAAAATGAAAAGAATTTTATTTTAATCTAAAACTTATATGTACGCTTGTCGAGCATTAATCTTGCTAGAAAAGGGGAAATATTAAAGAAGCCAGGTCTAGTATTTACCGTGCGTGAGATAGATCTTATGCCTGCCTCATAAATCTATCTATCTATCTATCTATATATATATATATATATATATATATATATATATATATATATATATATGATATAGTGTATTCTGAAGGTATGCTATATTTGTGGGTACGAGCCACGGTGGAGTAATGCATTACCTTACGATTGAGGAATCGGAAAGCGGAGTTCGAATTCCAGTTGAGTTCATTACATTTACTTACGTGCTAATAACATTGTGAAAGTTATGGCTTCTTATCTTCTTCCTTTAAGCACATATTTGGGTAAATAGCAGGACATACTAGGTTCTGTAGCCTCGAGAGGCATTCACTTTAGTAGAAGGAATACTCAACAACCGAAACCAGCCTGGTCTAACCACCTTCTCTTTTGTAAGTGTTGCCTCATGAAGAAGGTCATTCCAAAACAAATCCACATCACATGTCCTCTCGAGGAAAGGAACTGACCCCCTGCTACTTCGAGCCACGACAGAAAATAATGGATCGTCAAGGTTTAGTACAATGATCCAAAGCCAGGATACGGCACGACGCTGTGGATATATCTGATTTCGCATTATTCGCCCATGGTACTTCAGACGACAATATTTATGGGAAAAGATTTTTTTTTTAAATAGTTCAACTTTAACCAAGCCGACAATGTCACTTGAATGTTATAGGAAATTGTTGTGTTAATTTAATCACGCAGGTATGGACTCTCTCAGCAATAAATAGAAGCAGATACTACCTTTTTAGGGAGAGAAGTTTCCAGCCGTCAACTTTGACACTCGGACCGAACATTCTTGCTGTAACACTATCGTTCGTATATGTTTGTATTACTGTTTCTGTTAATATATTTGTTAAACTCAATTTCTCTCTTTGTGTCGTTGTTTCTGGTCCCTAACAAGGCAACAACAGAAGTGAAAGTGAAAGTAAATGAGAAAATTGAAAATGAACAGGAATGAGGAAAGTGGAAAAATGGAACATGTGGTCTAGCAGAAGAAAATCTGGCAGAGGTAACCTTCATCGTAACAGACGTTGCATTTAAATTTTTTTAAATATTTTCATTTTCAATATATGTAGTTAAGAGGGAACAAAGAATTCAGGCGGAAAGTGCGAGAGAAAAAATAACTGTTAGAGGAGAAACTGCTGTAACATCTAACAGTAAATGTTTGAAACCTAATTGCCAATCAAGTAGCTCGCATTATATCGTCAGGGTACCAGGAAGAAAAGATCATTCGAGCATTTACCAGGACATTATTTCTAGAACAAGCAGTAACATCGATGAGAAAAAGACTGCAGACGAAATGATTTGTCAGGATCTATCGTATTTCAGATATCTCTCTGGATTTGAACAAAAATATCTACAGGCACTCCCAGCAGATGAGAACACAAGTGAGAACCAGAGAGATGATCGTGGTTTCAGTTGGTACTTGCGAGCGGGAACGAACATTTCGATGTCAGCTTTCAATCTGAACAGGATAAATAAATATATCCTTCCAGAGGACATCAAGAAAGTTTCGATGTCAGCTTTCAATCTGAACAGGATAATTAAATATATCCTTCCAGGGGACATCAAGAAAGTTTCGATGTCAGCTTTCAATCTGAACAGGATGATTAAATATATCCTTCCAGGGGACATCAAGAAAGTTTCGATGTCAGCTTTAAATCTGAACAGAATGATTAAATATATCCGTCCAGAGGACATCAAGAAATTTCGATGTCAGCTTTCAATGTGAACAGGATGATGAAATATAACCTTCCAGGGGACATCAAGAAAGTTTCGATGTCAGCTTTCAATCTGAACAGGACGATTAAATATATCATCCCAGGGGACATAAGAAAGTTTCGATGTCAGCCCTAAATCTGAACAGGATGATTAAATATATCCTTCCAGGGGACATCAAGAAAGTTTCGATGTCAGCTATCAGTTTGAACAGGATGATTAAATATATCGTCCCAGGGGACATCAAGAAAGTTTCGATGTCAGCCCTCAATCTGAACAGGATGATTAAATATGTCATTCCAGGGGACGTCAAGAAAGTTTCGATGTCAGCTTTCAATCTGAACAGGTATGATTAAAGATATCCTTCCATGGGACATCAAGGGACATCAATGATTAAATTTCGATGTCAGCTTTCAATCTGAACAGGATGATTATATATATCCATCTAGGGGATATCAAGAAAGTTTCGATGTCAGCTTTTCAATCTGAACAGGATGATTAAATATATCCTTCCAGGGGACATCAAGAAAGTTTTCGATGTCATCTTTCAAAGTCTGAACAGGATGATTAAATATATCCGTCATCAAGGTTTAGATGTCATCAATCTGAACAGGATGATTAAATATGTCCTACCAGGGGACATCAAGAAAGTTTCGATGTCAGCTTTCAGTCTGAACAGGATGATTAAATATATCCTCCCAGAGTACATCAAGAAAGTTTCGATGTCAGCCCTCAATCTGAACAGGATGATTAAATATGTCCTTCCAGAAGACATCAAGAAAGTTTCGATGTCATCTTTCAATCTGAACAGGATGATTAAATATATCCTCCCAGGGGACATCAAGAAAGTTTCGATGTCAGCCCTCAATCTGAACAGGATGATTAAATATATCCATCCAGGGGACATCAAGAAAGTTTCGATGTCAGCTTACAATCTGAACAGGAAGAATAAATATATCCTTCCAGGGGACATCATGAAAGTTTCGATGTCTGCTTTAAATGATCCGTCAAGGGACAGAATCAGATTAAATATAACAGGATGTCAAATATACATCAAGAAATGATTAAATTTCGATGTCATGTCAGCTTTCAATCTGAACAGGGTGATTAAATATATCCGTCCAGGGGACATCAAGAAATTTTTGATGTCAGCTTTAAATCTAAACAGGATGATTAAATATATCCTCCCAGGGGACATCAAGAAAGTTTCGATGTCAGCTTTCAGTCTGAACAGGATTATTAAATATATCCTCCCAGGGGACCTCAAGAAAGTTTCGATGTCAGACCTCAATCTGAACATGATGATTAAATATGTCCTTCTATGGGACATCAAGAAAGTTTCGATGTCAGCTTTCAATCTGAACAGGATGATTAAATATATCCTTCCATGGGACATCAAGTAAATTTCGATGTCAGCCTTCAATCTGAACAGGATGATTAAATATATCCTCCCAGGGGACATCAAAAAGTTTCGAAGTTTCGATGTCAATATATTCAGGGACATCAAAAAGTTTCGAACAGGATCATTAAACATATCCTCCTACCAGGGGACATCAAGAAAATGTCAACTTTCAATCTGAACAGGATGATTAAATATATCCTTCCCAGGGACATAAAGAAAGTTTCGATGTCAGCTTTCAATCTGAACAGGATGATTAAATATATCCTTCCAGGGGACATCAAGAAAGTTTCGATGTCAGCTTTTCAGTCTGAACAGGATGATTAAATATATCCTCCCAGGGGACATCAAAAAGTTTCGATGTCAGCTTTCAATCTGAACAGGATGATTAAATATGTCCTTCAAGAAAGTTTCGATGTCAGCTTTCAATCTGAACAGGATTATTAAATATATCCTCCCAGGATGATTAAATATATCCTCCCAGGGGACATCAAGAAAGTTTAGATGTCAGCCCTCAATCTGAACAGGATGATTAAATATGTCCTTCCAGTGGACATAAAGAAAGTTTCGATGTCAGCTTTCAATCTGAACAGGATGATTAAATATATCCTTCCAGGGAACATCAAGAAAGTTTCGATGTCAGCCCTCAATCTGATTAAATATATCCATCCACAGGATGATTAAATGATTAAATATATCCTTCCAGGGGATAAGGGATGTCAGCCCTCAATCTGAACAGGAAATTAAATATATCCTTCAGGGGATGTCAAGAAAGTTTCGATGTCAGTCTGAACAGGATGATTAAATATATCCTCCCAGGGGACATCAAGAAAGTTTCGATGTCAGCTTTCAATCTGAACAGGATGATTAAATATATCCGTCCAGGGGACATCAAGAAAGTTTCGATGTCAGCTTTCAATCTGAACAGGATGATTAAATATATCCTCCTCAGGGACATCAAGAAAGTTTTCGATGTCAGCTTTCAATCTGAACAGGATGATTAAATATATCCTCCCAGGGGACATCAAGAAAGTTTCGATGTCAGCCCTCAATCTGAACAGGATGATTAAATATATCCTTCCAGGGGACATCAAGAAAGTTTCGATGTCAGCTTTCAGTCTGAACAGGATGATTAAATATATCCTCCCAGGGGACATCAAGAAAGTTTCGATGTCAGCTTTCAATCTGAACAGGATGATTAAATATATCCTCCCGGGGACATCAAGAAAGTTTCGATGTCAGCTTTCAATCTGAACAGGATGATTAAATATATCTTCCAGGGGACATCAAGAAAGTTTCGATGTCAGCTTTCAATCTGAACAGGATGATTAAATATATCCTTCAGGGGACCTCAAGAAAGTTTCGATGTCAGCTTTCAATCTGAACAGGATGATTAAATATATCCATCCAGGGGACATCAAGAAAGTTTCGATGTCATCTTTCAGTCTGAACAGGATGATTAAATATAT